ACACACACACACACACACTGAGCACTGACCTCACATGTCTTTATTTTTGAAACATATTACTGTTCACTTTGAGCTCAGTTCAGTGTTTCTCCTGTGTGTGACAGGACTAAGACACGAGAGCGAAACATAAAAACATATAAAGCTCATTGTTATCGTTCCTCCGGCTTTGTCTGGTGCTTGTTGCTAACAAAATTATCTCTCGAAACAAAGGTAACAAGGGCGGGAAGAGATGATGTCACGGTTTCGCAGCTCCTGCCCTCCCTCTTTTTTGTCTGACAACCTCCTCCCCTTCCTTTTCCCTGTAGTCTAGGTGGTGCATGTACACCTGCAGCCAGAAGCACACAGGCAGCCGCTCAGGTGACAGAAGAGACAGAGCACTCTCAGGTAGGAGAATACAAAGAGGAGGGGGAGAGGGGGGAGGACAGGACAGTAGTCAGGGATGTGAAGGGGGAGGGACAGTAGAGTGTAAACAAATGAACTGAGGACTGAGACACACCTGGAGTCAAGTTAACGCTGCTGGACTGAAAAGAGAAAGAGTCAAAGAGGTGTGGCGATGGGGGCAGATGAAAACATCACAGGTTGATAAAGAGAAACTCAGCGGAAGATACGAGAGAGAAGAGAAGTGAGCAGAGAGACCAGGAGTAGAAGTGAGAGTCATATACATCTGTGAGGATTATTTCTCGAGCATCTCCAGAGGTCTTCACGCCTCCACGACACCATGGCGTCCATGGGGATGCAGATGCTGTCCAGTGCCCTCTGCCTCCTGGGTTGGGCAGGGGTCATCATCAGCTGCCTAATGCCCATGTGGAGGGTCACCGCCTTCGTCGGCAGCACCATTGTCACCTCACAGACCATTTGGGAGGGCATCTGGATGACCTGTGTGGTCCAGAGCACGGGGCAGATCCAGTGTAAGCCGTACGAGTCCCTCCTCGCTCTCAGCGCTGACCTGCAGGCCGCCAGGGCCCTCACCGTCCTCGCCATCACCACAGGTGCCGTAGGCCTCATACTGGCCTTCATTGGAGGGAAGTGCACTCGCTTCTTGGATGAGGAAGGTGGTGGTGTTAAGGGCAAGGTGGCCTTGGCGGCAGGGGGAGTGTTGATCACCACAGGGCTTCTGTGTCTGATTCCCACATCTTGGGCGGCTGGAGCCGTGGTGAGGAAGTTCTACAGCGCCTCCATAGATGCTCAGCGGCGGGAGATTGGAGCCTGTCTCTACATCGGCTGGGGGGCGTCCATCCTGCTCATTCTGGGAGGGGGTTTGTTCATAAGCTCAGCGTGCCCCCTCAAAGCCAGTGACACAGAGAAGAGCCCCTCAGTCCGCTACCTGGTGGTCCGCTCCTCCAACGGGTCCAACCCGGCGGGTTCTCGTCACAACAGGGTGCCGTCAGCGAAGGCCCAGCCCATCACAGCAGCGGTTCCCCGCTCCCAAAGCTACGAGGGGGCGTCCACCAAGTCTCAGCTGTACAAGAGGCCTCCCTGGGAAGACGGGCCTGGACATGGTTCCAGGCAGGAGTCAGAAAGATCCTGGGTGCCATCAACGAAATCTCAGATGAAGAGGCCGGAGTCGACAAAATCTGAAGAGAGCGAGGCGCTGTCGACGAAGTCTCAGCTGAAACGAGCTGAAATGGAAGAGACTTTATCGGCAAAGAGTGAAAATCCAGATGATTCCTCAAATCCAGCAAGAACATACCTATAATATGAACTGACCTATATTTACACACAATACAAATATGTTTACTTTTTCTGTACTAAGAGTGATTTAGAGGTAGATGTTCACTTGTTACACTGATGTCAAGTAGTTGATGAGGTAGAATCGTCTTTGTCCTTCATCATGTGGTTTTGATTGAAGTGAAAAAAGTCCTGGAGAACTTTCCCCATCATGCAGCTTGAACAGGTCTCGTGCACTAAACCTGAAGTAAAACTGGTGTGAGTGAAGTTACACTTGTCTTCTTGTTAGAAAACAAGCTTCCTGAATCTACATTTACCGACATTGATGTTGACGTGTGAAGTTATAAAAGTTAACATTCGTTTTTTTTATCTCACTTCTTAAATGCACTTGAAGAAGATGAATCTGTCTAAATATTTTTACCTCAGATATTTAGCTTGTTTGTTTCTGTTTGACCTGATGCAACCTGAAACATTATTAATGAAGCAGCAACATATTAAGCTAACTTTGCATCATTGATTCTAATGAATGATTCGATGACAGAATCCACTTGTTGCACATAAAGTTACATTTTGAATCAGCTGTAAAATCATTCACGTCAGGTTTTTTTTTTTGTAAAGATTCAGATGTGAACCTTTTTGGTGTGAAATGTGATTGTATGTTTTATTTTGTACGTTTACTTTTTAAATAAACGACTTCAGCGTGATCAGTTTGAGTCATAGCCCTTTTTTCTTTTTAATGACATGTATATGCAAACATTTCAGATCCCCCCTCTGGACTCCCAGTCCACTTCCTGGCTTTTAAAATCCACAGGACAAACAGGTTTGACAGAGAGTGCGCTCACAGAGGAGGTGTTCAGTGTTGGAGGAGGGAGGGAACCATGTGTTTGGATAGAATTAACTTTAAGTTTCAGTGGAAGGATGTAGCAGCATCATCACTGATCTTAATATTAAAGATCCATTGTGAAGTAGATACATGACTTAAACCTGTATGAATGTTGTCTATACCTAATACTGTAAAATATAAAAACTGAAGGACAGATGTTACAGCTGTATGTGTTTCCTGTACTGTGTCCCTGTTGTTCTCTTGTCCCTCCTCTAGCTCCAGCCACCATGGGATTTTAACACTGTGTGTATTGTGTCGTTTGATGATAATAAATCCCATGGTTCTGCTGTTTTAAAGGCGAAAACTAAAACAATAGTAGATACTAAAAAAATACTATGCAATGAGTTAAATAATCCAATAAAAAATGTTTGATTATGACCGACACTGGGTTAACAACTCGACTGCACCAGCACGTTTTCTTCTCTGCTAGTTTTGAGAGACACTTCCATCTTGTGGTCAGAGATGGATCTGTCGGTTTTCAGGAGCTGCAGGTTTGTCTCTCTCTCCGTCATCCTTCTCCTGGAGCGAACCAGCAAAGTTAGAATGATCTCTCTATCATCTCATGTCCTCAGCTACTAGACACACAAACTGGGTATTTTGAAGTTGAAATGTTTTGGTTGTGTGTGTTTAGTGTGAAGCACAATCACACACACCGCACATCATGCAGCACTTTTCAGACATTTACAAAATATTTGTTAATTTAAAAATGCTCCTAATTTAGTTTGATTTTAATATAAATATTAAGCGTGGATCCATTTTGCTCTTAAAACAGTTGAGTAATGTTTGTGGCAGTTCACCTGTTTTTATTACTGCAGCATGATTGGTTGTTTTGGAGTTAACTTGTTGTGGTTTGGTTAGGGCGCCAACTGCTGGACAACAGGGAGGAGTGGCTCAGCCGGTGATCGGACAGCTGTGCAGAATCAGGTGATCAGGGAATCAATACGAGCCTGCTGGTGACCTGGTTCTGCTCTCTCTTGTAAGGCTGGCGTCCTGAGACCGGAGCAGCGAGCAGACGTGTGTGGATGTGTGTGTGTGTAGAGAGACCCGTGGATATATATATATATATATATCCTGCTATCCTTCCTATATATATATATATATGTGTGTGTGTGGTTGCCAGGAGAGGTGACCAGAATAAAGACCTTGAAAACGCCATTCTCTCCTCCCGTACTTTCCCGAGTAATCTCACACTTGTCAAGAGGCTGACACAAGTTTTTTCCCCTTTTCTTCAAATGACCAAACTTGCTGGACCAGATAAAAATGTAAGTAAATGTGTATTTTGATGCATATCCAGGAAGTTTTTCAGGTAAAATACTTGGAGGATGTGTTTTTTTTTTGGTCTGTATTTGATATAACTGCATTTTACGGACACAATAGGAAGCAAGAAGGATTTTATAATCATCAAACTGAAGATATCAACAATCACATCAGGACAACATCAGCGACACAGACAAACATGTACAATCACTGCTGTTATGAAATGACAAAATAACTTGAGGTTATAAATCATATGAACTTGCATAATTGTTTTTATCACTTCAAAATAAACCTAATCCCCCAACGCACAACATCTCTTCAGATGCAACTTGAATTCCATTATAGAAAAAGAAAACAAACATTATTTACAATGGAGTTCCCAACAATGATGAACCTCAAGAACACATGTGATGTTATTTAAGGATTTATAGCACAAATAAATATGTTTAAAGATGCAAACTGCAGCACATTGTGTTGAAAAAAGAAAAAAAAATCTGACACAAAACAGAAGTCGTACTCAATGGTAACCCCGTCATGAGGGCAACAATGAACCAATCAGTGATCAATGTTTAGTCCATAGCGACGTCAGTCTCGGCTCCCTTTTTAAGAATGTGATGAGTGAGTTTAGCAGAGTAAAGGTTTACTCACATGTTTATGAAACGAAACACACACTCTACTGGCAGAAATATTGAACATGCAAATCACTGATATCCAAGTTAAATCAAATAGCCTGTTAAAAAAAAAAAAAAGGTCAAACAATAATGGATACCATCCTGTTAATCTCAGGGGAAAACAATGAGATTCTATCTGCAGTGATTGTCTCCAACACAAGCCCTGAGAAAAAAAAAGAAGGCGGCCGTCAATCTGAAACTTATAGAAACCGTAATGCTGAGACACAAGAGCAAGTTATCAAATAAAACCTCAAATCACAACCGTAAAAAATAAAGTTCAAGGCACATCAACAGTCTAGAGTACAAAAAATAAAAACTTGAAATGGCAGAGCTCAAGCTTGTAATTGTACACAACACTTAACTACCATGATGAAGCACTAGAAACTTTCAAAAGAAAAGGCACCTGTGTGCTGTTTTCAAGAAAGGCCGTTCATGACCTTTGTGACAGAAACAGCAAAAACTATTTAATTCAAAGATCAAAACACTGAATTTGACATTTTTATGGAGTCGTCACCTCTTGACACTGTTCCTGCAAACACACTCTGAACATATCTGGACAAGCTCACATAAAACAAATCACTAATTATGAGTTATCTATACATTCGCCAAGGAGTTTTATGTTTTCACTGCTGCCCACTTGTCTGTTGGTTGGATTGACAGCGAGTTTACGTAGAAACTACAGAACGCCTTTCCACAAAACTTGGTATAAGGATGTGAAATGGGTCAATAAAGTACCGTTTAAAGTTTGACGTAGATCAGGACAAAGGGGCACATCCAGGAATTTAATTTACACTTTTTTGAACATTTGTGAAATAAGGCGTTTTGATTTCAGAGGAAATGCATCATGGGTCTTGATTTCGAGGACAGATACCTTGGCAGCCATTCTAATTAATGTGTATTTAGCTTTCAAAGATCACTTCAACAATGGCTTGTTATAGGTAGATAAAGAAAATTGGGTTTTAGAAACACTTTTCTGTTTTGAAAGAAAATGACCAAAATATAACGTATTCACAAAAGCCTCAGGATGCTTTTTTGAAATTGTCTCCACCCTGAAATGATCATTCACTTAATTACATCTGATGAAGGATGTAAAGCCAGTTTCTGAAAAGAACAAAAAACATAAAATCATTTGAATCCCTGTCTCATAGTGTTGTTAAGGCATTGATGTATGATGTGTCATTAAGGCGTGAGTCTATATCTGATTATCCCTTAAAACCACACAAAAAACATCATCAAATAAAAACCCACTCACACATCCATCCTCAGCACCAAATACTGAATCAGTGTGAGATACATGGCTCACATTGTTGTGTGTTTTACATATGAAAGAAATATTAAAGGTGCCGTAGTGTATCAGGTGGTAACAACCGAGCGTGGCAGCCTGTGCAGGCAGACAAACTGTTTGTTGTTGAGGATTTAGTCTTTCAGAAACACATAGTCAAGGTGTATGTATGTTTGTGTCTGTTAGTTTCAGCCAGGTAAAAAAATGACCTAAGAATATAGTGGATCACATCAGCTGGTGTCCTCGTCCGTCGTCATCTTGCAGGATTAGGATCAGACTTCTTCAAAGTAGGCCATCTGAGACATGTACGCAGAGTTTCTCTGTAAAACAACAAACAAATAAGTCTCAGAACGTGACGTCTGAATTCACCTTCAACTTTTTAAAGCTCTTCAACCTTTTACTATCCAAGTTATTTAAGTTTTCTGATCTTATACATACGTTGCTGTGAGGTATGTAGACAGGCTCCTGAACGTATCCCCTCGCCTCACTCTGGAGGCTGTAGAGTCCGGCCTGCTGCTGCTGCTCCTCCAGCTTCAGAGACTCAATCTCTGTCTTTAGCTCCTTCAGCTGATCCTGCAGGTGTTTACTCTTCTCCATATACTCCAGCCTGTATTAATGCCAGATATTTCAATGATAAGGAGGCACAGCTAAAACTCTATTTCCAAAATTGTTGCTGCGGGGGATTTAAACTCCAGCTCACCTCTCTCTCTCAATCTCCATGGACAGACGTTTCATGTCAGAGTCCTTGAAGTCGAGACGTGTGGATGCTGACTCATAGGCAAAGTCGGCTGCTTCGGGAGGGGCAGGCGGAGCAGAGTACGCTGCTATGAGCTGGAGGAAAGTCAAGCATGTGCATCAAGTCATGAAGGTAAAGTTTAACACATTACTATCTGTTGACACACAACTATAACCTCATGCACAGTAACAGGTCATGTGTCTTAGTTATGTCTTCCTTTTGACAACTCTTAACTTCACTCTCAAACTCCATAAATCCCCAGTGACCTTTGTGAATCAAATAAACCATCTTTAATTGGCTGTATTTGCATTTCAGACATAAACGGTGATGTCTGAACAAGCTGCGTTATCCACAAAGAGAAATAACAAAAGGTCAACAAAGAGTCCACCAACTGTGTCCTCCATCACCGTACAGGGTAAGTTGTTTTGGTGATGTCCAACAGCTTCTGCTTGGCTCTCCGCTCAGCGTCCTTCGCCTCCGTCAGGTCCTGTTTCAGATGATCTGCCTCCTTCAACCTGGAAACAGAGGTTTGGTTAGTTCAAGGTTTCTGAAACACAGTAAGACTTGTATTAACCAACAGTAAATACTTTTGACTTTTAATTGGACAACTAGATTTTAAATTTACACTACACCTGCTGTAGGAACAATGTGACACAGGTGTCCTACTTGTATTTGCAGAGCTTTTAATCAGAGGAGGAAAATGCCACATACTCCAGTAATAATAATATTCAGAAAAAACAAGGTGACCTGGGTAATCTGGGAATGTGTTTACATGCACTGTGTGTACTTGCTCCAAGTCAGTCATTAGTTTTCTCCCCTGCCACTGACTGTAGTAAAGATGAAAGACTCTGTCGTGACGTCCTTACTTTCCCTCGTGTTTATATTGCCCCTATTTTTCGATAATACGCATTTAGGCAAAAACTATTTATCTTAAACAACAGCATTTCATGTATTCACAGCAAAGTGAAGTAATGATAAACTGATTCCACACCTCCTCTCGGACTGCTCCACCAGTTTGACAGCCAGCTGCTCTGCCTCCCTCATCTTCTGCTCCATCAGTCTCTTCTCCTCCTTGGTCTTCATAGCGGTGACCTCTAACCTCTGTCTCTCCTGCTCAGCCTCTGCAGCCTTGTGGGACAAGAGCTTCGCCTCCTCTTCAGCAATCTGGGCCTTCTCTGCCAACAGGTCTGCGGTCTCCTCAGATCGCAGCTGGAGAAAACGAATTGTAACATTTAAAAGGACAAATAGAAATCAGGACTCATGTTGGAGGAAATTTATCAACAAACTCGATGGCTATTTCTGCCAAACAATAAACAACAGAAAAGAAACTCTTGCAAAAGCAAATTCATACAAAAGTCTGAAATATTAGACTATTATTTCATGTCCAGAATATATCTCTCACCAGTGCCTCATTGGCAAGTCGGGCTTCGTCTTGTAGCTGGAAAAGTCTTCGTTCCATCTCCTCTTTTGCACGTTCTGCTTCCTCCCTCATCTGTTTTTCCCGTGCCAGGATCTGACGCTCCATCTAGAAACCAAATTAAAGCCAATTAACCATGATCAAATCATTATAGGTGAACTTTCCTGCAGTTTGTATATGCAAAGCCTATCCCATTCATTAGTGCGGTGGAGTTGAGAGCGTGCTGACCTTCTTTCGGGCCTTCTCCTCTTTAGCTTGAGCCTTCATCTGCTGCACTTCAATAGAGTCCACCTTCCTTCTCCTCATGAATAGATCATGGTTACCGATGCACAGCTGTAGGATCTAAACACAAAGCAGCAATGTGGTACTTCATAAAACGTTAATATAACTCTGTTTCATAATTGTTATACATGAATAAACAAGTCATCTAACCAGCTTGTTCACACGTAGTTGAGATGAGTAGAACTTGAAGACATCTTTCTTTTTGTCCAGGGGTTTGATTGTGAACTGAAACATGGGAGAGTTAAACATTTCAGTTATTCTGCATCACTGGAACAATTTGTGAGCATTGATTTGAAAGATTTGAAGCCTTTACAACAGAATAGTTAACTGGCCAGAGTGAAAGGTTGAAGGTTTCACAAACATCTATATTTGTCTGCAATTTAGTGATGAGTGCAAGAAAATAAATAGCACCGTCCATCTATGATAAAAAATATGATCTATTCCAACATATTTCCTTAAAATGACATTTCCAGCAGCCTAATCTGGTGAAAATGTTGCAGCATCAGGAAGTATCATTTTTCTACTTCTTCCACAGTGAGAGGCAGAAAAAAAATGCAATTCTGTAAAATGTCTGTTTGACTTGCTTGCATTTACCTCCTTTTCACTGTAAGAGATGTTGCGGATGTCGCTCCAAGGAAAGGACCTGTTAGGAGTGAGTTTGCTGTTGGGGCTGTAGATGTGAAGACCCTGAGCATCCACTCCAAGTAACAGGTCTGTGTCCCTTTTATTTTGCTGTCAATTTAACAGGAAAGTCATTTTGAAGATTCTATTTTTCATAACACATAATTTACCTCAAGGTACAGTAATTCACACTCACAGTGATGGCAAAGTAGCTGACACCATACATCTCAAGGTCCTGAGCAATCTTTAGGTATTCCATCTCTGCCTCATCCCTGTTTAGACAATTTAAAATTAAATAAGAGAAAACACATCAAACAATAATACATTCATCACACACTGACTTCATCTTTTGTAAATGTGTTAATGTGCCTCCTGGGTCATTCCTTACCTGGCGATGCCTCTGTGCTCCGCGTACCAAGCTGTGATCTTCTCCTCCCACATGTCAGCTGTCATTTGATATTGCATCAGAACCTGAGATACACACACATAAGATCAGCATAAAAAAAAATCTTGAGATAATATACACAAGCAGATTAACACTGACTGACGACCCATTATGTTTTATGGATGGTCAAACGTGCACATAGTAACGTAAACTTACCATTTTTGGCAGAAGCTCATCATGTGCCAGGAAGCCTGGCTTGTGAAAGTTTGGGTCATAGTCACCGTACTGTGATTGAAAAAAGAAATATGTTGCATATTTGCAATAATATAAGTATATACAAGTTAGAAATACTTTGGATAATTTAAGTACACAAGTCAGCGTAAGATACAACATCAGTCTGGTAAGTGTTCGAGATTTCAATGAAGAATTGTTACATAAATCAGTGCATCAGTGAAGATCTGTGACTTTCAGCTGGACTTATATTGACTAAATGTTTTGAGATGTAAGTAGAACAAGAATCTCTAAATGTGTAGCTAGAATTCAAATGACAATAATGAACCATTAACTTTCATTAACCTTGCACAGATCTATTACCTTGGCTTGGACAGCGTATGATGCCAGGAGTACCGATGCTTCAGGGGAACAGAATATCTCTTCATCTAGTATCTGTTTTTTCACCTATAATATATATAATATGAACACACGTATGAATGTTGAACCAATTCAAATTATTTCATTTCATTTTCTAAAACATGCGCAAATACTAGCCCCATCTCAAGGAGAGTATGCACATATCATAAAGATTATTTTTAATTAAATGTTTAAATTACCTGTAAGAAGAAGAGGTGCTGAGTAATTTCCTGGACCAGTTCCTCTTCTACTTTTTCAGGGAAGAATTTGGCGAGGAAATTAAATGTTATGGGAGAGTCCTTGGGAACCTCCTGGTCCAAGACCTTGATGAACAAATAAACAAAATGGGAAAAAGTAGATCCAAAGTGCAGAAGAATATTTTTTATTAGGCTGAAGTCTCACAAAAACCAGAATTTCATGTCCTGATCAGTATCTGCAATTAAATATGAGCATCACGCAGAACAATTACTTGATTTACTGATAATTGATCCACAATTTTAAAAAATCTATTATACACTCAAGTCATTTATCCTGCAACATTAGCCCTCTGCAGCTGCTCAGCATTGTTAACTGATAAGCATTGAACATAACATTTAGAAGATGTCATCTTGTACTCTGGGAAAATGTTACAGGCATTTTATAGTCGAAAGGATTCATTATTGGATTAGAAATGAATCCATGGTTTTAACTGATTATGAAAAAAAACAGTTACAGTCCTAGAATCCCATTTTGGGTAACATACAAATAATCTGCATTCTGCTAAATATTTTCACCACGTGGGGTCTGAAATATCTTTCGTCATGACAGTTTGCCCTTCACGAGTTTGCTCGTCTACTCACCCGTTTGTCTGGTTTCAGCCAGGCGTATGTGTCCTTTACTGTGTACCTGAGACCAAAGAACCAGGTCTCCCTCAAACCAACAGTGCGACACACCAGGTCGAACAAGTCTTTACCTTTCCACTTCACCTGAAAAAAACAGAAAGCAGCAAAGAGACCAGTGAGTTGAAATGCTTACAGGAAACCTGTTGACCTACAAACTGTTCGGCGCCTGTATGATATATATGATATATATTAACGGCAGTTTTCTGCAACTAGAAATGTTGTGTTCACAAGACACAAAGCATCATTATCTGGGAAGCCTATGACGTCAGCTGAACAATTTAATAGTGGAAAACCTGACAAATGCTTTACCAAGAAAGTTGCATAATGTGGTTCTGTTTATTTATTGGATTGCAGCATTCAATTATTATGTCTATGGGGAATCATGAACTCTTTTCTCCTTTTGTTAAGTGAGATCTATGCAAAACAGTTACAAAACAGATCCATAAGAAAGGCAAGTACCCACACCATGGCTTCCACACTCAATACCATAAGGGAGGTGTCTGATCTGATATAAACCCATTCTGCAGCAAGAAATAACAAACTGCCAGAATCAAAACAACTGTCTTCACAGAAAAGATGAGATGGAGTCCTGCAGCAGAAGTAGCGCCTGAATAGAGCCCTGAAGTCAACATCATCATGTCCCTCTGGAGCTTATTTCAGTTCACTGCACTTTCTATGAAGTTAAACAATAAATAAAAACTACACAAGAAACCTCACTCTAGTTTTAAAGCCTAAAACCTTTGCACTATGCTTTTTATATACTTTCATATGCAGGACATTCCAAACTTAATGTGGGTCAATAAATGGTTAATCTTAAAATACATGCATATGATATAGTTATACATTGATCTGGACATGGAAATGAGGCAGGCTGTCCACGAACCAGAGCGTGAGTGGTTCAAGCTGTGGCTCCACATGCTTAAGTGCCCTTGGGCAAGATACTGAACCCCAGCAGTGTGGGAATAATGTGTGATAACAAAAAAGTGCAGATTATAGTAGAGCTGTGTCAAAATGCACCTAAATATGCTTGTTTTTTTCCATCCAGATCCATAAATTATTCCTTGGGAAATGTGTCAAAAAAAACACATTTCTCAAATAGTTAAAAAATGTAATAAAAACTCCTGAATCTGCACCAAATTATTTCAGTTTCTTCCCACACTCATGCTGCATCTTTTCAACATGTTTGGTTACAAACCAACCAACCAACCAACAAGCAGACAGACGGGTGAAAACTTCTTTGGCGGAGGTAAAACTATGAAAGCGCTCTCACTTCCGTTTTAGTAAAACCATTGCACAGTGCTGTTTATATTATTGAATGTTTAGAACATTTCAGGACATTCAAACTCGCCTTTGTATCACATTGTTATGTCTGGTGCTTGTGATTTAGTTTTGTTTTGCCTCTATATTCATTTATTGCAGCTGTTTTTCTTCACTTTGTGAAAGGTGCTCTATTAAATAGACTTTACTCACTTACATACAAATACAAGCCTTCAATATGTGGTTATGTATTGATCTGGACATGGAACTGATGAACCTCACTCTTCCACACACAGGCAGGTGATCATTTCAGGCCAAGGTGTGGAATAAATAAATACCTCACAGCTGAACTCCATCTCAGCGTCCATGGTGATAACTTTGACTTTGAAAGTCTTGGGCTGTTTCTTCTTTAAACCCAGGATGGACATTTTGAGGCTGCAGCTGTCAAAACAAACCTGTGGAGAAGTGACAACAAAATACTTTTCACAATGAAAACACAACATTCAACGAAAACGGAGGTGGAGGCTCCTGATGAATCACATGTTATTTACAGTTTTCAAACTTCAGGAGGCTCAAGCTCCTGTCCTGCAGTGAGATGTCAGTGGATGGTGGAGATCAGGCATCACGAATTCAAACAGATGTATACATTCTTTGTTTAACCCAACGTGTGTTTTAATTCAAATAAAAACCACATGAGGCCATTTACCAGGGAGTAAAGTGAGAAACTTCTGCCGCCCAACAAGGCTCAGATGAGGCTGGGCTTCTTTTTGTTGTCGGGGGGTAGAGCGATGCTAAGCTAACGGGTGTTAGCTTCGCGGCTATGCTACGAAAACGCACCAAAACAAGTTGTAGAAAGAGCGTAACTTCGGATTCTCCATGATGGAACCCACCGAGCGAACTGACTCCGTGCGTGTAAACTTTTCTTTACACACAGACGGAGATAACTTCACCAGCGCTATCAGCAGCTAAGTGTTTTAGCCTGTTAGCTCCGCAGGACTTTCCAGGAGACTTTTTTTTGTTGTGACTCTACAGGTGGGAACTGGAACTGCAGCCTGGGACGCGGCCGCTGCGCATGTGCGTGAATTGTGGACGCCAGGCACAACTTCAAGAAATATTTGTCTTTAAAGAGTTTTAAACTAAAAAGAAAGTGTGATGGCCGCGAAAGCAGCTGCAGGAGTTCATATGTCCGACAGACGCGCAGTTTGTTACGAAAGAAAGAAGAAGAAGCAGATCAGGTGTCGTTTGCCTGAAAGTCCGTGACGAGGGAATAGTGCAGCTTGAAACCACGTAGTGCTGCTGCAGTTTCCTGGTTTCAGAGTCTGCAGGAATTTCTTTTTCGTGTTTTTTTCCCGATGCATAGAATTGTGCATCGACTTCATGTCCTCTTGTGTTGAAATCCCCAGAAGAAAGAAGCAGCTCGGCTCCTGAAGGTGACACACATCATTACTTACCTCATGCACCACACTTTCTGTCGTCTCATGTGCAGCTGCTTGTTGATTTCAAAACCATATATCAGCTCAGGCAAGGTCAGATCAAACCGCATGTGCTTTTCACAGGGTTTATGCTCTGATTGAATTCTGGAATAATTCAAATAAATCCATGGTTTTCAACTACATGTGTATCTTTTCCTCCTTTGTTCCCCTACCAATGTGTTAGTTGTGTGTTTGAATGCTAAGATAAGTTAAGGTAATCCTTAAATATTAAGTCACTTCCTACAGAGGCAAAGTTGTCCCTGTGCCTGTGACATGACATGACATCACAAAACGAATCACTGGTCGTTGTAAAAAATGATCTGTTTGTTAGAAGGAGACAAATGAAGCGAAGTGAGCCTTTAACCTTAAACTCTTTAATGAATATATCTGATTCTGATACCTGTTGTTAAACTGCTATGTAACTTGAATATTTTGACAATGGCTCTTTGTTTCAAACTTTAAACAGTTTCACACGATGTCGGTTGGCAGCAACACATTCGAAGATGTGAAAGCAGTGGTCTCATCAGCTCATAACAACACTACATATAGACAGATGGTCGACTTTTACAGCTCCTGGGCAGAGAACTATGATCAGGTGAGATAAGATAATATTTTATATGCACAAAAGTTTGTCAATGGTTGAAAACAAGGCTAAGAGAAAAAACTGCTGTCCAAAATATATCAAGGTTTCAAAGGTTTTATTTTTATCTGCACAACAGATACAGCGTACATGTTGGCAATGAAAATCTTAAATCCCAGGCACCTCAAGCAACTCAACATGCAAGTGTCATAAAATAAGATAAGAGTAACTAAAAATACAGTAACATACACTAGTGCAAATGAAACAATAAGTACAAATGTCAGTACTAGTGCAAAAAAATTAAGTAAGCATTATAAGGTGCAAAAAAATAAAA